TTACCAAATTTAAAGTCTATTGGTTTGGTCGATATTATTGTTTAAAGAGATCTGCATATTATCCTGTCAATAAAGAAGTTCTTTGGTTACTCTCCTACACAAATAAATATCAAATATATTGTTGCTGAAACTATTCAACTCAGACAATTCAAACTTTCACAGCAGTAGCCAAATTTACTTACTGCGCTGAAGTGACAGGGATATGACAGGGAAAGGTCAATGCAAATATTGTTCTTTTGTGAAATTTTATTTTATTTGTTAAAGGTTAAAGTCACATTTTAGGTATATTCAGGACCTACAGCAATTGTATTCTTGATCAGCATATCCAGTAACGTAACAGTAGGAATTTGGTGGACACAGCGGTTTCTCACCGTTACAAATTATCAAATAGTTGGTGCTCTCATCACGAACAACATTATCTGGAGTAGGACATATTCCATTTCCAGGTTGAATTTTGTAGGTTGACACTGTAGCCGTTTGAGGACGTGGTCTACGCAATGGTGGCCCAGTGATTCGTGGTTGGCCTGGAAGGCGAATCGGTATCGATGTAGCAAGAGTGATATCGTTGATAGTTGAAACAGCTGTTGCTGTTTTCCACTGACTAACGTCAGCAGCAGGTTGCACATCTCCAACGTACTGCAGCGATACTGTCGATGAGGTTAAAGAGTCAACATGAAGTTTGGAGACGAAAGTTGGAAACGTTGCAGGACGCTCAATCGTTTCTACAAATATGAACGCTAGAACATTTTTTTTTCTTAATTTTTGGCTTCCATCTATAATCAATTACTTTTAGTTCATAGCTGCCAACTTAGAAGCTTACTTTAACCCATTTTAACCAATTTTAAGCATAATACAAGACTGACATTAAAGTCTTATTAGATTGTAGTTACCTTACTGCACTTGACTGCTTACCGCAGTTTATCGAATTTTGATTCCATGCATTATATAAACAAATTGTTTTGACGGAGTCCGCAAAATTTTAGTGGAAAGATCATTAAAGCTTTTATTCCTCACGTTCCTGGCATATTATCAGTGTTCATATGAGAGTTAACATGTTTTAATTCCCGATTAAGCTTTCAGACCAAATTTTAGTCCACGATACCTGTACTTGATTTCGTTTTTAAACTTCTAATTAAAATGGTAGTTCCAAAAAAGGAGACAAGCAGGGTTTCCTAATCATATATTCTAAGGATGAGCTATTAAAAAACTCAAAAACTTTTTTCAGTTGCCAAGATTTTCTATACGACAGATACGATATTTTATTTTGATGTGCTGTTTTCGAAAATGACCTGTTCTTATTAATTTGTCGTTTTAAAATCCAATGAAGAGGCAGTTTTTTTACAGAAGAGCTTGACAAATTTTAAAACACTTTGAAAATATCCATCATTCATTTTGTGATAAGCCGGAAATAAGACCGTTTTACAGGAATTCGAGCTTTTCTATTTGGATAAATCTCAAAATGTTCCAAGCTACCATCAAAAATTCTTTCTACATGCTTCCATTTAAAGTAACTTAAAAATATCTCCAGACCATCCATCAGCAGTAAATTAAAAACCTTTCCATCATATTTCTACTTGATATCAAAAAATATCTCAAGCTCAATTGCACCATAACAACTGATCCGGTTAAGCTGACTGGAGTACCACCATCAGAGGCTCAACAACATCTGTTCAACTTTCTACTGCCGATTTTGGTTAGAGTGATATAATCATACTTTATTACCCAAATCGGTATTTGCGTTTTAGGGCTTTTGGTATTAGCGATGGATTAAATTAATTATCTAAGATTACCGTGATTTCCTTAGAGAGAGAGAGAGATGCTTCCATTATTTCTTTGTATATTCGAATAATTCGAATAAAACTGATATTCCGATACTGTAAGCGACATTTTTCGGGGGCGGACATTAGTGACAATTATGTGATTGTCATCACACACACATACACACACACACACACACACACACACATGAAGTGGAGAACACTTACTTGAAGTTGATTATCTTTTTAAATCAAGATTTGCCTGAGCGACAGTGCAAATTATGATAAGTGAAGATGGAAAACCACTAGCGTATAAAGTTAACTGAGAAATGCGGTTTACCTACCGAGCATTTTTGCCGAGGCTGGTGCAATGCTTAGAGCGGACAAACTTATTCGCGGAATCATAATTCTATTATCGCTTGTTAATGAGTTTGTTGCTGAGGAATTATTCTGTATCAATGTGAGGAGTGGGTCACTATAGACCTGAAATTGTTCACCATAAAGTATCAGTCCTCAAAATATCAGACCGTATTCAATAAAAATTCAGTCTTTAAAGTCAAACTTGCAAAATTGAATGGCTCATTTACATTCCACATAAACCTATACATTATGAATGTATTATCTCGCAGTTTTATTCAGAAATTTTCAGTTGTATCTGCAACTTTGCTTCCGAATTAGAATCTCGTCTTACGCAACTAAAGAGCCATAATCTAGCTAATATCAAAATCAGAACGTTCCTCTTTAAAAAACTGTAAGAAGTGAACTTACTAATCTGTTACCTTTTCACAGTTAAAATCGATTACTTTCATCGATGCTTCCGGACAAATGCACCAACCATCTCGACACTTCGAACCACCTTTACAATTCCTATCAGTCAAGCAACTTCCTCCGGGTGGTACTTGCAGTATTTGCATATCTGAAGTTAAAACAACTGAGCAATTAAAAGCTAAATATTCACGCCATATTTTCACTGGGAATTCCTTTAGCTCCTAGCAAAAACAAGGAAATATGACTTTCCCTTTGATGATTTATACAGTTCTCCTAGTAGCGTAAAATTGAATCAGCAGCAGCTATTTGTTTGTGAAAACTTTTACTAGATGGTTTTCAGTTAACTAAATACTAAATCAAATGAAGAGTGTGATCGAGATTTTCTGCTCCCCCCAAAAAAAAAAAAAATTTGCATTTATATTTAACGCACAATTTATTGTTGTACTGCTTGCAGTTATTTAGCTACGAGCTACAAATAAAATTCTTTTCATATATTGTCGACGAAGCCGAAAAATCTTGAGTTGATTTAGTTGATCCCAGAATATTTCCCAGGTAAATAATTCGTCATACAAAATCAATAAAATAACTATTTTGACACCGAAAGTGACGAATCATTCAGTGATGAATAATCCAACCCTTCCAATTTTAATTGCAATATTGTAAACTTTTTCCAATCTGTTAATCAATCTTATATGCAATTGTCGGAATGTTGTAAAGAACTTATATACAAATGTTGAAATTTTGTAAAGAACCTCTAGTCTGGTATTTAAACCAATTTGTCTGCGATGTTAAACCATTCCCATTATAAAAGGAGAGCTAGGATCAATCATCCGGACGAGCAGTTACAAAAAAGCTTGAGTAGTCACTCAATCCGACAACTCTCACAGTTTCGCAATCCCACAGATCGCTAAGTTACTCAATCGGAGAGCTTGCACAAGTACTCAAGGAGACAATACAGTACAGTTAGGCAATCAACCATGACAACGGTTTAACGGCCGAGAAGCGGCAATACGACAGTTCAACAGTATAAGCGACAAGACCGTTTGGTACCCTTTAATACTTATTGTGCATTATTCATTTCGTCCCTATTATTGTTTCAATGCGATATTATTATACCATATCGTATAAGCCAATAAAGGTTGCCATCAACTTAGTGGAGTTACGACAACAAAAAATAAACTGCAAAACCTTTTCCCGACACAATTATGTTGGAAGAAAATTTAATGATTTGAATTAATCATAACCGAAACCTGGTTTGCAAGTTTGTTCTACAGCATTAAAACTATCGGGACAGATACAATGACCAGCAGAACATTCAGAAGCAGCATATGCCATCGAACACTGGATATCATGATGACATCCACTTTGTCCAGGGTATATCACTAAAATTGCAGCATTCAAAAAGTTGAGATAGTGTGAGAAAGATTGTATGCTGATATAATCCTGCTTCGATCGATTTCTAACACACGTCAACGGATTGTCATACTCCACGTGATGGCCGTTTCAACTGTTTCACCAGTTATAACAACATCCACGAGATAGCACCATGTGTAAATATTAAAGTCAAACAGGTGATATTTCACGTAGTCTCGAAGCACTTCATATATCTGTATAACGATTCGAGTACTCTACTGGCAGAAAAGTATCTTATTTTACAGGAATTATCAAGGAAACCTTTTTCACAGAAATTATCAATGTTGACATGGGTTGAGAGACATTGGCAAGTGGCTGGATTGGTATTGACTTTGCAAAATGCTCCTATAATACAGTCAACATTATCACGACATGGAAATCCAACAGCAGCCTGTCCCACTCTACCAAATTTGATGTTTAATTTAGGTGTTGTTAGGAATTTCTGCATCTTTTCAGTCGTAGTACTTATGACTTTCGATAGTGTCCATATATTCGCAATTTGATTGATTACTCCTGCAAAAAAATATTTGAATCTTCCGATTTAATAAGCCATTAATACATATTTTGAGTTTTTGGAACGAGTAATATCTACCATACCAATCAGCACAATCTAATATTCGTCAGTGTTATGGGGGTTCGAGAGGAGCCAAGATAGACTGATTACAGGAACGAGTAAAACAATGATAGCATTACCTGAAGGAATTGGAAAGCAAGAGTTTTCTTGAAGAACGGTATTTTCCGGACAGATGCACACAGGAATGATTGGATGACATACTGATCCACGAGAACATATCTGACTTCCGTTGCATAATTCCCCAGGACCTGTCAAAATGACAAACTGGTAAAAGAAGAAACATATAAATGGCAGTGTCTTGTAGGAAAGGAGGACATTTTGATTGATAAAGAAAAATTAACTAACCAACTCTGAGTACTGACTGTTTTTCTACGCATCGATCACCTTCCTGAGTCAGAGGAATTGGACATCTGCAGTGACCACCGACACATGTCGTACCGTTTAGACAACGTACTGCGTCGTTGCAATTAGCACCTAACCCAAATAAATTAATTAGATTTTGTTTTGCTTTTTTATTCTGAAATGAAAATAACGACAAAATCGCAAATTTGAAGTGAAAGAAAACATTTTCCAGTTGAGAAAAGGGTTTTAAGAAATGCTTGCATCGGTACTTCTATTAACTTATCGTATGACTGATATTAGCTATTTCGATTCAATAGTGACTCATCGTTTCTAATCTTACAAGATAGACCAACTACATTAAATGTAAGAGTTTTTTGAAATGCGCATCTTAACCATAAATTGAACAATCGAATGATACTTACTCCTAGTAATTACTTTTTGCAAAATTGTATCTTACCCACAGCTAAGATAGCATGTCGTTCAGATGATAGACATTGACCATTAAAATCTTCCATATCACCAGGACATAGGCATAATTTTACCGGAAGGCTGCAAAATGAACCACCACCGCATATTTCATTATTTGAACAACTGCTTCCGGGTGGTACTTGCACTACAAATTAATTGCCACGAATTATTGCCACAAAAAAGAAGACCACGTCAAATATTTAACTTGTTTCACATGAAATCTGCACGCATAGAAACGATGCAGTAAGGCTCACAGTTCCGGTTACTAATTTGTCAAAGGAAAAAATAGTAATTACGCCTTGTTTTGCAGATTTTAGAGATATCCAATAGCTGATAAACCAATGAATATGAAAATCAAAAATGAACTGAAAAAAAAAAGGAAAAGCGTGTAAAAAAAGCAAACACTTAACTTACTGTTAAAAACATTTGATGACATATTGTTTTTGGTAGTCAACATTACTTCATGTCCACTTAATAACTGCATATTATAACCCGGAAAGATCAAACTATTAGCACAATTATAATTTACAGAATGTGACCTCTTCTCTTAGTTTATTGATTGAGAGAGATACAAATTGATACGTAATCTGATAAAGTGTGTAATTTGTGTACATTATTTTTTCTGACTAATTTCCAAAAATAACTTTAACGCCAATTAAACTGCATGAAAGAGATGTTTGTTATTTTATGATGATAAAGATTTAAAGCAAGGAATGACAAGAGTTAAATTTGGATTTCATTTTCGCTGTAAACTAAATTTTAGGTCCAATGCATGTTCTTCTTAACTTTTCATTGATTGATTTAATTTTATTGCTGATTTATTCGAAAGTGTGCAATCAGTATAAGTTTTGTGTGCCATAAATTTAGCAATACAAGTTCCAAGCAGAAAAATGCTGATAAAACCAATTTTGTTTTTATTTCCACTCTGACATTAAATTTCGTTTCCTTTTTAAATTTTATTTACAATCCATACAAAAGCCAAAAAAGGTTTATAGAAAAGAATTATCTATCCTACTGAAATATGTGTGTTAAAGCTGAAATAAAAATGAGAATGAGCCAGGAAACTAACTGGAATACAATTGTCCAGAAAGTCACCTAACATACTTTTTGTTGGAGGGATTTGAATGAAGGAGCTATTGGAACACAGAACAAAGTATTCAGATTGGCTGTCATACCGACGGGGCACAAACATCGCATGCTATTGAGATCACAAACCGTTCCACCAGTACATTCTTCACCCCCTGCGCAACTGCTGTTGAAGACTATAAACGATTTAATTTAAAATAAAATTCTGTAGGGGAAATAAATTTTATACCCTTAGGAATATTTGATTCATCGGACAAGAATGTGATATCCAATGTTGGCCTAGTATAGCTGTGATTTACACTAAAAATATTCATAAATGATGCCGCACTTTTAAAATGGAATTTGTATTATGTAAAAAATGTGTATAATTAAAATAACTGTTGTGCTATTGTCAGAGCAAGGGTGATACATGGGCCATGATAGCAATGATTTCAATGGTACTGATAATTGATAAACTAAAATTTTTGATGCTCTACTGAGCAAATTTAATTAAGCACTTTTGTAGCTTTTGCAGAGTTTCTAGAAATTTCTCCAAAAAAAAGTATTTATATCTTTCGGAGAAAAAAAGTGTGTATATCTTTCAGACAACCTACAGTGTTATGCCATTATGGTCACAATAACATCTTTTTATTTTAAAATTATTATTACCTTGTCATTCCATTCGTTTCTTTGTCTAAGGAATTTTAACTATCACTTATTCACCAAATTTTGCTCGTTAGGAACTTGAGATATTATTAAACAGCTTTAAATGGATAAATCATGATAAACTGTTCCGAAAATCGAAAAGTAATAAAACATTCAAAGCCATTTGCAGAAACTCAATGTCAATCATTATTTTAATTAGATAATACCCATATAAATTTATGTATTTGCAAATTGTACGAATTAATTTGTTTATCGAGAAAGTTACTACTTGTTTGTGGTGCAGGCTGCATAGGTACACACTTTTTTTCACTGATTTGAAAAGTGTAGCCAGGTAAACAAGATTCCAGTTTCCAGATACCCAGTGTTCTGAAATAACCAAAATAGTTATCACGTTTTGTGATTTTTATGACTGAAAAAAGAAAACTGTTGCAACTAACTTAAACCCAAAAGATATACAACGCATGTATAAGTTGGAATTTCCATCTGGACTTTCGACCAGCCCTGCATCCCGTGTTGTATCACAAGCCACACTTGGACTTACCATCACCTCCGTTGCTCCTGAATTAAGTTTTAATCTATAGTTCAATATATTCACTGGGATTTTTTGAATCCGACTGAGTATAGTAGAAGTGAGGAGAGATACAGTTTGCAGGAAGAAATATATATCAGATATTTTGTTATAATTTATATTTCGTCAATATTTCCGGATTAAATGAATATAGTCAGAAATGGTTAGTCTCAAAAGAAAACGAAATATTGAATAAGTTTCTTGCATTTTTTTAGTTATACTTTTCAATTATGTTGATGTTAAGTGATAACTCAAGCTTTAAGATTTTTGGACGTTATCAGCATTTTCGAGGTCATTTGTGTTAGTTGGCTGTGAAAAATTCCAGTTGAAAACTTTGACTATCACTGTATCATGGAATGTTTATTTTGACTACTTTCATTAGCACTACGGAAAACATACCGAAATAATTTAATATCCAGGATATTGAGGTAATAGTAATTGACAGTAACATTCCTGATCTTTCACTTTTGATATATTTGCTGTTTAGGAATTTTTTATTCTTAGTTAATAAATCCCTGAAAAAAAGCAGTACTCAGAGAAATTTGAAAACAAAAATGAAAAGACATATAAACGATTCAATTTGCAAATTAGTATTTAACACTACCAGTATTATCACCACAAAAAAAATATTCACCAAGTTTAAAGCGAAAATAATGGATCCAACTTATCAGTTGAGCACCAAAAACATTAGATAGTTGGGCTATGCAAGTGGTCAGATATATGCAATTTTGCGAGTTTAAAACTCTAGTCCTTCTTTCTTCATTTTGGTCACAATGGTCACATCTTTCCTGTTCCAAATCCCCTTACACATTTCTCGTGACTAACCATTAAGTGGTAAGTATTTGGTTTGATATCAGTCTATAATTAAAAAGTGTTGCCTGAAGTTTTTGACATTTCTGTGAATGAGGAAGATTGAATTGTTTCATATGCAATAATTAGAATGGTTTTCATTTGGTTGACCTGATGCTTAATCGGATGGACATTTGATAGAGTCTATGTGGATGGAAAAGAAAAGACAAGACAAATGGTACCAAGTAGACGAGTAGTTTGTAAATAGTTTCTTCGCCAGTATCAGTGAACTCTAATATTATTATCTCTACAGTAAATAGTACAATTTCTTCTGGATGAGTTTAAGACCGAAACTTTTCACAATTTCCGAAGTTTTTAGCTTACAAATGTTTAAAACGATAAGCTGTAGGCTTAACTAAGAGAGAAATGTTTATAGCAAATTGTAGTCGAAATAGGACTAATTAGCAAAATAGTCAATCAGTTATTTCGAATTTGAGCTTTGTAAGTTTATGCCACTCTCACAATCTAACACAAGACCTTGTACCATCAATATATTTCACTTAGATAAGAAAAATATATATGCTGAATCATGCGTTCATTCTGGCTATTAGCTGTAAGGTAATACCTATTCGGGTCTGAATTAAATTAATTAATGAGACATTTTTTAGATACTTTCCTTGAAAAGCTAAATTTATATATCAAGAGGTTAAAGGGTAGCAAAAAAAGATTCAAAAGGGTAAATTTTATTTGGGAATCAAAATGAAACTCTATTTAACTGGAAACTGCGGCTTTGAATTGTTAGATTTATACTATCAGACTAAAAGTGGATATGTAAATAAATCCAAAAACACGGATAAACTTGCCGAAAAGCCTAAAATCTAATTAAAAATAAAACAATAATTGAAATTGGGCAAGAACGACACAATGCAGAAGTGGCTGAAATAGTTAGCACATGCTAAAATTGTAAATTGCTATTTGTATAGAATTTTGTTGACCGATGTTTTTCTTTGCCTCAATGTTTACAATTCGGTAATCAAATTTGTTGCTTACACCAGTTTTTGTTATTTTTCGACCTCCTCATTAAAAGGGACAAAGTAAGCCGATTAACAAATCACTCAGCTGAAGTTGGTAAACTGAATACTTTATTTACCATCTCAGTAATTCATATAGATTCTTACCGACACATTTAAAATGGAAGTGTCACTTTTTATAAGTGTATGCATCGTGACGCAAGTGATGTGATGGTCAAGGGCAGGTTTTGCTAGTACTGGTCAGTGTTCTTTACCCAAAAACCACTTGAGAGAAAAAAAAACTATTTAAAATGTGATAAAATATGAGAAGCATTTGATAGCCATATTAGAAGCAACAAGAGTTTTGTCACGAGAGTTCCATTTGACGTAACTCACTATTTACTGATCTGACATATTGGAATTCGTATTTTCTCAGTTTTTCGCTGTCAGTAAAACGCAGCAGAAATTTTTAGTCAAAGTATTGAAAGTTGAGCTTTTCTCCAAAAGAATCTAGTCTACCCTTCAACATGAGCTAAACTAGTTTAGAGTAGTTGCAATGTGTAATCAATCGGTCACAAGATTACTGGGATCTGTCAGTGCAATTTTTTGAATAGCATCGTCAACTAAAAGTTTTGTCACAGACAACATCAGACATACTACAAAGATTTTAATCTAAGATCTTGCTTGGATCCTTATCACAATTTGGAAAGAAAAAGGCACAAGCAAATTTGAAAGTTCAAACTTTCAAACTGGCATGATGAGCCACTGAATATAACTTCCTAAACTTTTAGCTTTTTTATCACTTTTTAAAAATCAGTGAAATTTCTCGCCACATGATATGGAAAGAAGTAAGTGATGTGCTGATATATGTGATCTGATTTCAAAATGCGGAATTAAACTCAGTGAAGTTGTCCGAACCGTTGAAATGTTAATTAGAAAGAAAAGGTTTTTACTTTCAAAATATCAATCACAATGATTATTCAATTGTCTGAAAAAACGGCAAAATCACATTGAAAGAGACTAATCACTGTTTAAAAAATCGCTCTTTATCTGTTATCTTGCTTTCTTGTTAAACTATTACTTGTCCACTCCAAGAGTGGACACCATCACAATCACTATGATTATTTTACGATTAACTTAGATTAAACGAATGGTCACACAAAATGACAACATTACAAAGTATCTATTGAGTCCACTTTTGCTCTGGTATCTATTGCTTCTGATTATCATCTTATCGCTCATTGATTATTGTTATCTTTTTGTCTGTACATATTTGACTCTATTTGGGCATGGAAAATCCATCATTTTTTGATACCTGAGAAAGACTAGTCAACTGCTTTTCTCTTTTCTTTTTTCTTTTTTTTTTCTAAAGAGGACACTGGAACGAGCATAAAATAATAATATGGGATGATCAGTTAAACTGGTTTTAGAAGATGAGACAAACAACTGGACGATACTGTTGTCTAAGATTTCTTTCCACTTCAGTATGTATTATTCATGCCCCATTTCTGACCAGTCTTTAATTTCTTTTGTTTTTACAATTTTTCTTGCTTGTAAAATCGTCTGATGATGTTAGTTCTTGCAATGTTTCTTTTCATCCGGTTAGAAAGTTTCACTTCATTAGTTCATGATGATATTTACTTGGTGACATCCTACCAAAAGATCAGCGAAACCAGAGTTTCGAAAAATTCGCATCATTTCCTTTGACCTTATTTTTAACTTGCTTTTCTAAATTTTATGAGTAATTTCTCGAGAAACGATACTTGAACATGTCGACTGTTACATTGGAACTGCCGAAAACTGAGTTTGTAGAAGAGATTTACAATTATTATACAAATAATTTGTTATGGAATTTATTTTTGACATCTACTGGTATTGTCTATATACTCTTCATTTCTATTCCTTTGTAAGTAATGATAAAGTTTTTAATGAAATAAATGAAAGGATTTATAGAAAGCAATGATGAAACAAAACTTTTAATGATAAGTTCTGAAGTGATAAACGTTAGAAATCTTCAAAATCTAAATAATAAATCAAATTATTTATTGCAAAATTTGAATACAAAGCTTAAATTGACATATCACAAAGTACAAATTTATGAAATGAAGAGAAACTTATTTCTTCAACTTATTTAAATTATAGACAAGCAGTCTATAAATGGTATCGACAAAAAAGCAGCGACAGCGATTCTTCAGTTCCGTATTTTGCGACATACATTGGGTAACATTGTACCCACCAAATTTTATTGTACTTTGGATCCATTCGGTTTAAAGATTTTGTTTAAGAACTGCCATTTTGCTCAATCTTTCAAAACAAGGTTCTATTTAATTGCACCTGTTACGATCGAAAGCAATAGAATAAAATTCCGAGTTTTTGAAATTTTGAAAATTTGACATTATTTCACCGTAACATTGATCGAATTTCAGATCAGCCTTGTGGCTTCGGTATTCAATGTATACCTTAGATTCAAAAGCGGTCCTTCTGCAGGCTTTTTCAGTTCTTATGCAAATATTTTTTCTTGTAGCAATGATGTTCTATAGAACCGAAAAAGTATATTTGCATCTTGTTCTTTATGCATACTTTCACCTGTAATATCACTTTTAAATAGTTAACCTATCAAAACTATTGCAGACTAAACTGCTTCAGTTATTATGTCTAATTACAACCGTGCTTGCAACGATATTTCTTTGGGGGCAAATGTTACGATTTGAAGATGGTAAAACATTCATTGGTAGTGTTGCGTCTTGTTCTCAGACCATCGGATCATTAGCCTATCTTTTCCTGATTGTATGCCATTTCAAATCTTAACATTCGGCAATTTCGCCAAGAATGAAAAATCAAAAGAAATAATTTAGATATTAGAGAATTCAAATCAATTTTATCAACATGAGATGAAGCCGCACATCCATGTCGCAAATACTAAGCAGTCTTGAAGTATTAAAATGACGTCTCCATTAAGTGCTCAGTTGATCTATATCAGTTACACAGCATTTAGTCTTCAAAAATCTTGGTTTTTTCCGAGTGGAAGAAGAGAAAGACAAAGGATTGATAACTGAAAGGGAATTTTACAGCATCGGGCAATAAAACAGAAAGTAATAGATTTTATACCATTTGGATCAGTGGCACTCGCATGGGTTCTGGGAGTGCATACTGTCATCTATAGCATTGGGATCAGAAACATCCATTTACTGGTTAGTTATCATGTTAAACTTTGACCTTGAAACACACAATTTCATTTTTACAATAAAAGTTTTGGATATCATCTTTGCATCTTTTTGGTTATCCTTGTAAAAGACAAAAGTTCGTCCTGAAATTAAAAACTTTATGGTATTGAACACTTATACCTTCTTCACTTTGCAGATAGCGAATGGAACATTCATGGTATTGGATGGTTTGCTTCTGTTGATGTTTTTCATATATCCTACTAAAGCGCCGAAGACAAAGCTAAATAATTCCTTCCCATCAACATCCATATAATGAAAAATTGATTAACGGTTTAATAATTGTTCCTTATCTAACAAAACATGCAAAACTTGCAGCTTGTCCAAACAATAATTTTTGAAATTCATTATAACTTAAATACTTCTCCAGCGAGCTTTATTAGTATCCTTTTCGAAAGGTGCTATTGTACCATGATAATTTACTCATAGATATGTATTACAGTGCAAGCAAGACACTTAAACATTTCATAACGAATAAGACAGTAATTGGAAATGAATGTAAGCAATAAATTCTACATTCAAACTTGTTTCTATTATAAGTTGCAGTCGTTCCATACTTTCCTTCAACTTCAAGTGTGAAACAAGCGGGACTTCATCCATTCGTCATTCACAAACTTCGTCCTGCAATGAACATATATATGAAAAGATTGAACACTGATCTTGCAGCTTGACTATTGATTCAGATCAGAAACTGATCCAGATCAAAAATCATAGTGCGAGAATGACAACGACTTGGACAGTACTGAAAGGCAAATCCTAAACACTTTAAACGAATTGTTCAAATATACTGTTTGTGAGCAAGGAGGACCAATTAGTAATCGGTTGGCATCTTTAACCACTTTTGGCGATGCCCAACCGATTTTGGGAAATGTTTTGCGCTACTGATCGAAAGGTTTCAAATATTTCAAGAACATTCAGGAATCATGAACACTTACCTAATAGCATTGTAAGCGCTCAACAGCCTGAAGATTCTTCAAAATGAATCTGAGTGGAGGTGCCAAAAATTTTACGAAAAAAGGAAGCAACGAAAAATTAAAAATACACTGCAAATAAAATCTCCATCAATTCTTGCCCAATCTCCTCATGATTATCTTCTGATTTAACATGTCCGATGAATGATTTCAAAGACGGAAAAAAATCACTTAGAATCAAGCTAATAATTAAGTTAGAAAATAATTTGCATACATATAATTAGTGATTCCATCTGGCAGTATGACAACACATTTTTGATTTTCTGTTAACTCTTTGGCAGCTTTCATAGCGCAGAAAACACTAGCTCCTGAACTGCCTCCGCATAGCAAACCTTCGTGTTTGGCCAATAGCCGAGATGTTTCAAATGATTCCTTATCACTGCTTCTCATCCACACATCAATAATATCACGATCCAACACTGTAGGAACGAAATCATACCCAATTCCTTCTACCTAAAATAAATGCTTATGACGAAAACTTCATCAGGTAATGTGACTATTCTTAATTGATATATATTCCGCAAAAGTAACATTTTTCAAAGAATTTAAAAAAAAAAGAGAGGACTGCCAATTATCCTTTGGTACCTTTCCTCTGCCATCACAAATCAATTGGGTCGACATATACATGCACTCATCTCTTTTATATTTACTACGCACATATTTTCGACAGTTTGCCATAATCATATTTTTCAAAGTTATTCAGTTCACAAAAGATTTCATTTTCAAACTTTCATTATGCTATTTAAAATTTTAATGTATTCAAGAACTATGCATGCAGGAACGATTCTCTACGACTAAGCATACTTTAACCTGATTCCCACCTTTTGAAGATCTGATTAAAATGCACTATCAAGACAAATATGGCAAACTATCATCTTTTTAAGTTCGGCACAACAGTTGCGTACCTCATAAGTTGAAACATCACTATTTTCTGGATCCGCAAGAATTGAGCCTATAGGATCAACACCAACAATCTGAAAATTGCTTGAATACGGTAATAGTATAACGATCGAGAATTCCCTCGCACTTGTCCTCTTCTCTTCCTTCTTCATTCCCCTTCTAGGAGATTGAGCCTATAGAATCAAGCCTGTAAGACTAAGTCTGTATTGGGTATAGGGTACTTGAAGCTTATCCGCGAAATTATTCAGTGAATTACAATGTAGTCATATGGCTTTATTCTCGAATTTAATGATGGCTTTTGATGTCAGCACGAACTGACCTGAAAATATCTTGTTATATCTTAATTCGATTTCAGTTATAGAGATTTGGAATGACCAACCTTACATTTTGGACAAACTTCCTTTAGTTTGTGACCGACCCCACTTACGGTACCACCTGTCCCAGCACCAGCTACAAGCATATCCAGGTCATCATTCAGTGCGTACAGTAATTCTTCGGCAGTTTTATCGTAGTGCTCCAAAGGATTAGCGATGTTTATATACTGCAATACTTCTAACTGATTATAGTTTGATTAAATACAGACCGCGATAATTAACTGAATAACCAAACTAAAACTGACGATTACTCTACATATTTGAAATGTGCTTTCTGAGCTTCAATTTCCGTTAGTTTGACAAGATGCATGCTGCTATATTAATGAGTAAAGAATACTTGAAGTAACAAATACCTGATCCAAGATGACGGCGTTGGGGAGTTCTTTCTGTAATCTAAGGGCGACACCGATATGTGACCAGGGATCTGAAAATGATGCCTCCGTTGGGGTGCGTACGACTTCAGCACCCAATGCCAACAAAATGTTTTCCTGAACTTTCCAAGATAATTTTGTTGAACATATCAAAAAGCAAGTTCCATTCAGATGCGCACTTTATAAATGACATACTAACGATATGATGCAAAAGCAACTTAAGATGAATGTTTCGAAGTGAAATATTTTGCGCTGCATAATGCAGGCGAACATTACTGCGTTAGACACTCAAAATTGCAAGTCCAGAAACATATCTCCTTTTAGTATTTAAGATAATTAACGTACATTATGTAAAAAAAATCAAGTGGGGGGAATACAACAATGTCGTTCGGATAGGAAACAGTGAAAAAGTTACGGGAAGAAAAAAGGATTAACAAATCAGGAGATGGAAAAAATTCTAATACCCTCAATATGCTACATCACCATAGTATGTCTAATCAAGTGTAAATCAATTTTGAAAAAGGAACAATACGCTGAAAGTACTCGCTGATAAGAATAGTTCCTTGTCCTTACAACTCAAATTTTTCTTGTCGATCTTCTCTTAGATCATTGCATAGCATGTAGTTAACTATATGATATGACTATATAAGGAAATTTGCACATGTGATATACTTTTACGTCCCAGAAAACTTATATCACTTATTGCAATACTAATCTTTCTTGATTTAATCTCATGCATAATTTAGATCTAGAACTATACCAGATTATTGGATAGATAATGAAGATTTAATTTTGAACAAAATAATATGCAGTGTTTTGTTTAATGAGAATTGTTTGAAGTTTAAAGAACCGTAATTATAAAAGTGGTTGTGAGAGCCTTCCTAAAACCTATGACATACTGATGTCTTCCTGTATATCCAATCACTACTGATAATGTTACAGTCTTTAACCGAAATGTCCAAAGTATTCAAAAGAATTCTGAATATATTGCGTCACCTTTTCTTGGCTCATTTTTTCCGGCATCACGATAATACAGCGGTAACCCTTGACAGCAGCAACTAGTGCTAAGCCAATTCCGGTATTTCCAGAAGAGGGTTCAATTATTGTCATTCCAGGTTTCAGCTTACCAGTCTCTTCAGCCAGTTCAGCCATTCGATAGGCAATACGATCTTTTATTGATCCTCCAGGATTCATATATTCGCATTTCACATCTGCAATGTTCATAGAACCTATATCTGCACATATGTAATATATATAATATATCATAAAATGTGAATTTTGGTCTTTCGAAGTTCAGTTCCATGTCCTAAACTTACGTGGCTGACTTCAGCATATTCCATTTCTGCTTTGTCGAATTTCCCATTTTGCTACATTAACTTATCTACTGCAAACGAATATGGATGAACTAATATAAACTTCATAAGACGGCCGACATCATTAGTGGAATTTCAAATATTAGAAATAATCAGCAAGTTCTTAAATCATAAAAACTCACAAACTTGACATCTAACATCAAACATTTTCGGTATATAATTTAGACGCACTAATGGTGTTTCACCGATTGCTTCCAGAACGTTATCGATGACCATTCTCTTTTTATACCTCGCATTTTCCGCTGTTTCTCCTTTGCTTCTGTTCGGTGCTCCACTGAAAAAGAACTCCTACTCAACCTGGAATCAAACAAGTACTCTTAAGTATTTCCCTTCATTTCACTCTTGATTTTCATATATGTTTGATAAGAATAAACCAAATTGTTGTTTCTTCTGATGAATTGACAGTTGGTTATTTGCACATATGTACATGCAAAAGATACTCATCTACATCTGTACTCTTTGTGACAACTTTAAAGCTTCAGAAACATGTGCAAATGTTATCTGCGATAAAATATAAGTAAAGATTAAAAATGCTGTTGCTAAATTTGTGCCATTTTAGGAATAATAATTTTCTACTTTTCTATTCGAATGTTTCAGAATGAATGAAATAAAACCGTACTGCCATGGTTTAAATGGAAAAGGACATTCATTTTTGCTTGGATCTATCGTGCTCCACTTCCATTCCATCTTCTTATCCGGATGATAATTCAGCGGTTCTTTCAGCGAGCATCTGTAAATAATAAGCTAAGGAGCTTGAGCTGCAACTTGTTTGGTAAAAATGATAAGTCTTTCAATTAGGTGACGAAAATTTTGAGCCAACTTGGCACATTTAACTCTTTTCTTTCATAAAAGCTTAATTATGTATTTCGTGATTCAACAAGAGAGCTCCATATCAGAATCGCAACAGAGGAAGAGTCGCGGAATTGAAATCAGATTGAATCCTGATTCTATGAGGAACCAAAAAGCTGTGAGTTGCCACTACTTAGAACTACTTAGAATCCAGTCTACCTAGAATTTAAAGAATTTTTGGATATGAAATTACTCGCTGGGTGCAACAGGAATTTGCTGAATTGGTGCCATGAAGTGTCGTTTCAACATCCACTCGTCGTTTAGAAACTTGGACCTGAAGATGAAGTAATTTTCTTACAGGTTCCAAAGCCGAACCATCTTTGGTCCATACAATTGAATAAGTTAGAAACCGATTTCTGATTAAATCTGTTGTTTGCTCAAAATGGCATAATAGAAAATGTAATTATTTTACGCTCTTTTTAAAAAAGAAGTGGACTTATGACACTTTAAAATATGAGTGTTTTGATTTTTCGTCACTCTTTTAAAACAGGTTGAATTTTCAAACAGTTAAAGAATAGAAAAGTATAAAAAACAGAAAAAATATGAAAAGAGGAAGGATATGAAAAAGCAGGAAAATCCATAGATATGCGCTTTGTTATGATCAGTAGGAAAATGGCATAATACCATTTAAATATAAACAAACATATAATTTCGTATTCCATCGGGAAGAATGACAACACAGTTCTGTCCCTTCTTAAGTTTGTGGCATTCTCGCATTGCAGCTGCCATGTTGGAACCGGAGCTACCGCCAACCAATAGGCCTTCCTCACGGATCAATCGACGAGCCATTCTGAATGGGAAAGGAAAATGATATCCAGGACAGATCCCACATCTTTAAAAGTCAAATTAGATCAACGTTCAGCCGAACTGAATGGAATTAGACGCAATAGATCAGTGTAAAAATAAATCTAAACAGTTCGAAAACGAACTTGAAAGTATCCGCATCATTCACCTTGACCCATTTGTCAATGACACTGTAATCCAGCAAGGATGGTACAAAATGATAACCAATACCTTCCACTTCGAAAAATGCAGTCTTCCGTTCATCTCCAGCATTACTAATTACTGAACCTTCTGGATCTACACCAACTATCTACAGAGAAATTAAAACAGATGTAGAACAGAATAAATCGGGTAAAGCCAGTAGATGCTTAAAAGTAAGCAGTGAAGAACAATTACACAAAATTGATTATTGTCCAGAAAACGAAGTATTCTCATAAGATTCGGTAATTTACATAACACAAAAAATTAATTTAAAAAAAAAAATTGAAAGATACCGTGGCATTCGGGCACTCCTCTCTGATACGTCGCCCAACCCCGCTGACAGTACCTCCAGTTCCTGCCCCAATCACAACCATATCTACTTTTTTATCCAGTGCATGCAATATTTCCGCTGCGGTGCTCTCATAATGTGCGATGGGATTTGCCGGATTGATATACTATAAAAATAGAAGGATATTAAATGAGTTCTCGTTAATCGTTTAATATTTCTATTTTACTTTTAAAAAGTACTGTTCTTTCACTTTTCTTTCTGTATTGGCATAATCTCAGGCTATCATCTACATTTTGCAATGTTTTGTCAATTCCGGCATATCTGACCATCGAATTATAAGAGGCTGATGAAAACTATATAGCCTAATGCCAATATAGCCAATATAGGATATAGCATATAATATAGGATATGCCAATATAGGATATAGCCAAGTCTAATGCCAATCAATCATTTGCAAAGAAAATTGATTAGCAAATATGAAACTAAGGGACATCAATCCAACCTGATCAAGTACCACAGAGTTATCTTTGTCTTTCTGCTGCATCTCGAATGCCACACCAAAATAAGATGATGGTGAATCATATGGAACGTTGTCTGGAGTCCGGATTATTTCCCCACCCAATTCGTTAATAATGGTCGCCTGAAAATGAGTGAGTTGTGAAGGGTAAGTGATGAAAGACTGCCCCTACCAATTTATTCTTAAAACATATCATTTATGAAACATTTTTCCTTATATTCCTTATTTTAGTAATTGTTACAATCAAAATTCATGGACGAAAATATTTTAAAGTTATAAAATTTGGAAAAAATCTTCTCTCAGTTATACCACTACTTGGCAAACTGTCTGCGCAAGAGTCTCAAGCACGTAAGGAAAGCAAAATGACGTTTTACGAGCTTTTTTTTTTTATTTTCTATTCATGCTTTATTTTCCATCAATGACTCTGATATATAACACATTTCCTAACTAATTTTAATCATTTAACAGATAAATGTAATTGAAATACAGGAGGTTTGGAAATACCAAATTCTTGTTTAACTTTGAGTGGAACGGTCTTCTTTTATTGATGGTGTTATGAGTCTATTTCAAGAATTTATGCGCTCGACAGAGTTCAGCTGCTAGCTGCAGAGCATTAAGAAATGCGCTGTAATGATTGATTGGACGATTTATCTGTTCCGAAAATTAAATCTAAGTCTATATCAGCTAAGAAAGACAGCAAAGAAACTCAGGTAACTACTATAACTATGATCTAAATGGAACTGATAATTTCAAACTTAATATAAAGTATGCATTCTTAAGAGACTATAGAAGATAAAGTTTAAAGCTATTTCATTCTCTGTGAATTAATACATGAAAAAAAGAACCTTTTCCGTGCTGATTTTATCGGTCATTACAATTACAGATTTATAACCCTTAACGGCTCCAACCATCGTCAGACCAATTCCAGTATTTCCAGACGATGGTTCAATCAATGTCATACCCGGCTTCAAGATTTTAGTCCGTTCTGCTATATCAACCATTCGTTCTGCGACTCTATCTTTGATGGAGCCACCTGGATTCAAGAATTCCATTTTGGCATCTGCAATAATAATGTTCCAATACTTCCATTCAGAAGGAGCATTAACAGGTGACTGAAAAAGTAGGAAAAAAAGTGAAAAAGGGTAAAGGATAGTCTTTTTCTTTTTCTTTTTCTTTTATAAAGAACAAATGGAACGTTAAAATCTAAAACAAACTTCGTACGGAAATATTTGCAGAATATTGCTGCAGTAAGCAATTAAACTTTTATCACATTTCTAAAGGAGTAAACCAGTTGGTTTACTGATTATTATCATTTTCTGTCCCTCGTAAACTGATGTCTGAATTCCATAAAAGAATCTAAAAATGCACTCACACACGTTGCATTCAATACCCATCGATTGCGGTATTCTATTCAGCTTCACTAACGGTGTCCCACCAATAACATCTAGCACGTTATCCAATGGTTTGCCATCCGGAAGTCTTCAAAAAATTCCTGATACATTTTCCTTTAAAGGAACAGTAATAAATAATCTAATAATAATCTCTCTTCATAGAGGAAAATAGATGTCGAGATATCTGAGACAAGCTGCCAAGTGCTAGAAAAACTAGCTTCTTCATAGAAAAATTTCACTCCTCCAGAATAATGATGTTTCCGCCTGTTGTGTTCCTAATCAAACCAACTCCATATTAGAAAAGAAACAACCTCAATTTACGGTATTGATGTGGGGCATCCTTCAAGAGAGCTTTCTCATACCATGCTTTTTCATTTTTTACCTCTTCATTATAAGGTAAAACATCATTCAAAATGATCTTATCCACGAATTCCGATATCATTATCTTTGAGTGGCTGCGTACTCAATACTGAAATTAAAAAATTAAAATGCAGCATTATATATATATATATAACAAACAGTGACGAAATGTGCACATGAGAACAGGCATTTCTCAACTCAAAGTTACGGAGATTGTCTTTGATGCATTTGTAATCCAATAGGGAAGGTTGGTATACAGGGAAGTGAAGATAAAAACGGCTGATAAGTTTAACATCGCTAAGGGGTATTTCCATTTCCGGTAGAACTCGCTTTCTGGTTCCTCCGTTACTCCCACTCCGCCGCAGTCACCCTTCCTTTTACCCGCACAAATTCCCCCTACCTTACCCTTCTACACTCGCTCGACCATACACCGCAACCGATCCATCTCCAACGGTGTCTCTCCTCATCTCCTTTCCCTACGTTACCCACCTTCTTCCCTACCCATATTCTGATTACCTACCCTTCTCCTTATCTATTTTCCCCCGCTGTCGAAGTATCATCATCTCCTCCTTCCTCACAATTATATTCTGAACCTTAAGTTATTTCCACTTTCAAAATTTTTGCCGAAATGACCTTAAGCGTTTACAGTTCATTAATTACAGCAAGTGTCTCATCCGCAGCACTGTTCCCCCCAGATTTTGTTTTATTTTCAATCAAATCCAAGTAATTCTGATTTCTAGAAAAAGAATAACTGTGGAAAACTGTACGCGGCGCTCGTCAACATTTTCATAATTTTCAAAACAAAATTCATAAAGATCTTCTTGGAAAGGACAAGACATTCACATTGAAGCTTTTTACACTTTACACCATGTGATATTTACGAAACAAATGAAATAAATTTGATGAACTGTGGTCAGAAATTGTTCATCAAATAGAGAACTGAAAACATAAATAAATGTATTTTAGCAAATTAGCCACCATGGTTATATATATCCTGAAAACAATGGGAAAACTCTTCTACTCTGATAATAAGGTAAATTTCAATTTGCTGGTTTCATTATCCATTATTTTCTGACAAATGACTCATCGAGTAATTAGAACTGGTTCTTTCTCTATTAGAACAAAAGATTTTGTCATATAAGTGAGCTATATCCAGGATGATTACCGAAGCGTAAAGAAATACTTATGAAGTACGCCAGAGTTCACTCTTGTCCCCTTGTTGATTCACACTCAGTTGTAAGCTTCCTTTTACTATAATCTGCACAGATAATGCTTTGCACTTTCTTAAAAGTTGCCTAAATCGTGTTTCAACATTTGATTTAAATAACTTTTAAAAGAAATAAACTTCTAAGATTGGAAATTGGTTATTAGTTCTACCGCTTTGGCAGTACCATTTTGAAACTTTCACCAGAAAAAAAAAAACATTATTATAATCAAAGATACTCACTCTCGATCCTGGAAAGACTAAAAACGAAGTGGACTCCGATGCTGAAAGTAATATTGAGATATTTGTATTCGCTCCATTGTGTATCTGCATTTTGGGAATAAAAATTTATGTATAAAACACATGGGTTTTGTCGCAAGAATCAAGTTAGCCCCAAGGATTAAACTTTTGAAAGTAAAAGTACATTATATGGATGGATGAAATTGAAACCCCGGAATTGCTGAGACATTGCAGATATGAAAAAGTTGTTGGTCTGCTGATATGAAAATTTAAACAAAGGTAATGATAACCGCTGTTGGTTTTCACTATTTATTGTTTGCAAATACTAGAAAATTCTTATAAACAATGGCAAATGGAGAATGTCGAAAGGATTCGCTACATAAGTAGAAAGGTATTGCTTGGCATTCATGCTAAGAATATGTAATTGTCAAAAATGTTCATAATAGTATTCCCAAAAGTTTCCATTTTTTATTCTATCACAATTTCGGTTGTAGTCTTACGATTAATAGAAATAATATCGAATAATGCTACTTATATCTGTCGATACTTGTACAGATATTTATAGATATTTATATCTGTTGAAAAGAGAGAATAGGATTTACTGCAGATATGAAACTTTGTAATATAAGAAGATGATAAGTATTGAGTATGATGACAATAACAAGCAAAATACGAATGCGTCTGATAATTGTTGATGAGGTCGAGAAATGAAGATGAGCAACTGACCCCACTTATTCCATGTTTTGGAATTAACTGAGAATATGAAATGACCCCAAAAATCAACTTCTCTATGCAACAAATTCTATAGAAAATTTTTTAAGACCCTATCATAACGACAGGGAAAAATACAATAGGATTTCGAGGTTTTTTGGTGGATTTCAGGGACCAGCTACTCGGAATAGTTTCCAAAAAATTTGAATATCCATACTTTACACCATTACCAAATTATGACAAATGCCTCCATATGCTTTTAACACGCATCATTAACCTGACTTGATAAATTCCGGAACTCTTTTGTCAGAGTTCTAAACACGAGAACATAAAAGTCCGGAGGATAACTTCGCTCACACAATCCTCTTCTTTCATTCTTTGTCTTCTGCTCTTTTTATCTTCGTGCCACTTTTTTTTTTTATTCCATCCTATTCTACTTCATTTGTAAAAAAAAAGTCCTTTTTCTGTTCTATTGCCCGATTTATGTTAAAACTTTTCTCAAAAAGAAGTAAAAATGCGCAGGTGCTCTGACATTGCCAGTAAGGATTCTGAATCAGGTTTAACAAAAAAGCCTTCTGAATACTTTATTCACATCCATTATAAGAGATCAGGAAGCGCGCTCTGGAAACAAATTCAAAAGTGATTTAAACAATGACAATAACTAGTAAACGGTCTCCAAAGATTTGTGACGTGCAAAAAAAGAAATTAAAAGAGCTTGATATAAAAGATATGTGAGAAGAGCGGTCTTATTCAAATTATTTCACAGTTTAATACATTTTGAAGGATCTCAATATACCTATCGAAAAAAAAACCACACTACACGTCAACAAGTGTACACAACTGCAACTGCAACATTTGCACAAAACAATAACAATACAATGCCAACAGATGCAATGACAACTAAACCATAATTAATTTTTGAATGAAGCAAAAGCATTCAGCAATTCATCATCCGTTAATTCGGACAAGTCCCGACTTCTTGTATTTTTTGTTCTCCCATTTTAAGAATAGCATTTTGACAAGTTGCTGACATACGTTTCTGAACTTCAGTCTCATTCATTGCTTTTGCTTCTCTTATTACATCAAGCAATAGCTGCTTTGACATATTATCTATCCCAACTGTTTTATCTTCAACTTCTGTATTTGGTGCTTGTATCGAAATTTGATTAGCTTCCAAATTCACATCTACAAAAGAAGTTGCTGGAAAAAATTGCAGGAATAAAAACACCGCTTAAATTGCAGAAATTTAAGTATATATATATATATATATATATATATATATATATATATATATATATATATATATATATATATATATATATATATATATATATATATATATATATATATATATATATATATA